CTAGCATCAGGCTGCGGCTGGTGTATTTGTGCCCCTTGCACGCCCTGCAAGACCCCGGGGGACACATGGACCCCCCGTGATCTCACCCAGGCTGTTCAGAGCTAGAAACAGCAAAGAGCTTTGGCCCGTACCTCACATTTGGACTTAGGCGTGAGGGCCGGACGCCAGGGAGGACGTTGGCGCCCAGGCCTGGACCGGTCTGGAAATCCCAAGGCTCTCCATTGCTCTGCACCCCATGCCCTGAGCCAGGTCCGGGCTCTCCTTGTTCTCCCAAGCCAGGCCCGCTCCTCTCGCAGATGAGCGTCCAGCTGCTCCCTGCCCCGACAGCCCCAGACAAGGCTGTTCCCAGGGCATTTTTGGCTGCGTTTGGGACCTGCTTTCCAGGGTGCATTGCCAAAGCTTGGCCCCGATAAACTTCAGGACATGCCCTGAGACTTGCCCACCCTCCCAGGCATCCCAGGGGCATGGAGCCAGGGGACGCGGCTCAGGCAGCTGCTATTGCACCCGTCGTTTGGCCGCGATCTTGGCCTGGCTTTGCTTTGCGTTGCGAGAAGCTTTGTGCTCTGGGTTTGCTTCACGCCCGGGGCTCCTCGGAGCCGAAACGGGTATGCAGCCCCTGGAAGGACTGAGTGGGCGAGATGCCTCCCAGCGTGGAGGGAACAGGGCTGCCCCTGCCTGCAACGTGCTTTGGTGGGAAAAACCCCTGATTTGTGCCAAGGGAACTCAGCGCCCGTTGCAGCACACTGGCATTTTGCAGGGCTGCGCGCATGTCTGCCCGGGGCAAAGGGGCTCGGCTGGGTGGCAGCTGCCCGCTGAGCGCGTCCCTGGGGTGTTTTCGTGCCGATGTGGGCAGACTGGAACGAGTTCATCAGAGAGCAACACAAATGATGAGGAGCCTGGGAGACCAGACTTGCATGGAAAGGCTGAAAGACCGAGGGTTATCTAGTCTGGAGAAGAGACGACAGACGGGGGATTTGATACCAGTCATCGGATACCTGAAGGGGGGCTACAGGGGTTGGACGCACGCTTGGCTGGGCTGGTTTAGTCGAGGGTGCTTCGTCCTTGACCCGGGGACTGGACTAGATAACCTCGCCAGGCCGCGTCCAGCCGGCTTTGCTATCTCTGATCCTGTGATCCTCTGTAAGGGCGTCCTGTCGGCCGCAGCGCGGGGGCAGCTGGGCTGTGCTGGTCGCTGCTCGGCTCCCGACACCTTCTGCAGACGCAGGGAGATCTGATAGCGCCAAGGCCAGGAAAGCCCCTCTCTTATCTCCAGAGCCAGCACGCCTGCCCAGGTCTTAAACAGGGCCACGCTTATGCTTGAGGCCCAATCCTCGGGTCTGTTTGTCGTATTTGGGGCCCGATCCTGCCATCCCGATGCAACCCAGGTCCCTCGGCACCAGCTCGCAGCCTGCAGCTGCAGCCACAGGGCCGTTCTCCCCGCCGTCCACAAAGAGTTAACACTCGTGTGACCGGTGAATCACAGCTCCCCGGTCACCCTCCGGTCACACTCTCTCCTCCACATAATGCCTGTTTTCCTGGCAGTCATGACTCCTTGCCCAGCTCCCAGCCCAGGAAATGTGCGTGTGCCGGGGGAGCCGGCCGGCCGCGGTGCTGCGGCTGGATCTTCTCGGAAAGGGCTTTCGCGGAGCGCCT